CCAGTTCATCACTGAGCACCAGTGGTGTCTGGATGATGCCCAGCACACTCAAGGCGAACACTATCGCCAAAGCCATGGCCTGTAGGAGAGAGGAGAGAAGGGGGCTCAGTGAGGCTGAGGCAGCAAGGCCTGGGCCCAGCCCAGGTGGCGGCGGCGCCGTGCCTGGCCCAAGGCGCTGCTACTAGCTGCAGGGTCCTCGATGCTGGGTGAGAACCCACCCCCCGGGGCCCGCGATTCTGCCCCGGCCCTGGTCCAGCCCAGCCTCCCCCCACCTGTGCACTTACCTCTGGCTCAGGACGTACTGGGGTAGCGGTGCCTGATGGCGCCTTTTATAGCTGCCCCCATTGTGACGCGTCCCCTGTGATGTCACAAGCACCAGAGCGGATCACAGGCACGCCCGCCAACCAGCCCCACCCTGACATGACAATTATCAAATATCGTGCATGTCTTTGCCCATATAGTATCATTGGATTTCCACTGGAGGTGTCCTAAATAGAAATATGAGTGGACCTCTCCTGCCACACAGCTGCCGATAGACTACTGCTTCTCATAAAGGTGGCATGGATGGTGCAAGTGCATGCCTTGTGTTGGAGATAACTTTCTTTAACCTTGCTGCACCTATTACGTCTGCCATGTTAAGGTGGAGGGAACCTGAACTTGCAGGTCATGAGAGGGTGTGGAAAATGAGTCTTGTGCTGGTACGGGAGCCAGAGCAGCCAGAGCCCCGCTCTGCAGCGGTGGCACTCGTTCCCTGTGCACAGGGAAACACTGGCGCAGCATCAGACCCACCACAGTGGGGTCACCCAAGGGCAATGCTTTGTGTATGGCCCCCCAGGAAGACACTGCAGGCTGCCTACCTACGGAGCCACACAGGCAATGCGCACAGCTGTGGAGGGTGACAAGTTATTGCCATTGCCCCAGTGCAGGGGTGCGGACAGCTCTGGTCCTTAGATACACAAGCAGTGAAAGCAGAGCCGGCCACATCAGCTCCTTATCCAAACGGTCCCTGACTCTGGGGCAGCTGAGCGGTCAGCACCCTCTGCCCGCCTTCCCCCCAAAACTGATGCACAGGCACTCAGAGAGGCAGCCTTTGTTCAAACACACCATTTATTGACAACTTTGTACAAAGTAAAGTGCCCAGAAGGAATGGACACTCTCAAAGAGGTGCAGGCAGTCTAGGGTACACGAACAGAGCTCTCTGCATGAGGAGCTCATTCACTGTCCATAGAAGAGCAGTCTCGTGAGCTGATCTTGCAGTTCATCAAACTCACGCATTGCCGTGGCGTGGGCAGCCGGGTCCTGCAGCAGGTTCTGGAGGAGGTTGATTGGCTCTGCTGTTTGGTATTCTGGGGGCAAGATGATGTCCTCAGGCATGTTCTCGTTGCCAATGAAGAAGTGGTCAAGGCGTTTGTCCTCCAGGCAGCTGTGCAGGTACTGCAGGATATCCTCCAGCCGCATCAGGAATTCTGTCCTGCTCCAGTTTGCCAGGGGTATGGTGTTCAGGAGGTGCATGGCAACTGTCTTCAAGATATAGCTGGAAATGCCTGTGTCCACCAAGATACCGGCATAGAGCTGCAGGCATTTGAGGTGGAAGGTGTCGTGTGGAGCCTGTGTGGCGATATGCCTGAAGAATTTCACCTCTGCCACAGCATAGCTCTCTGCCCACATTGTGCTTGGGATGAAGGTGTCCTCTGTAGTGTGGCTGCTCAGGAAGATGTC